TTGCGACTATCAATTATTTAATTGCCACTAATTATTTATTTATGGTCACAATTGTGGCAGCTATTTATTTTAATTGATGGATAAAATTTTGCACTTATTTATACATTTACTTAATAATCAATAAAACTGCTAATCGATCAAATCATTCATATTTTTATATATAAAATTTGAGAGCTAAATTTAGTTTATTCTATGAGATAGACTATGAAATAAGAATTCTTTTTTTTTAGTCAAACTTAACTTGCATATTTTTATCTATCAATTTAAATTGATTAAAACTAAAGATCAATATCAGATTTAAAAAGTTGCTAATGCCATACCTAACTAAACATGCATTTACTTCATAAAAATAAGCGATTCATATACAATTTGAATAATCAACAGCGTCGTTTGACTTACAGAAGTATTTAATCGTTTATCGGTACAAGGTATAAAACGTAGCTATGCCACACAATTTTCTCGACGATCCTTCAATTCCTCGTCAGCGATTCGCGTGCATGAAACTCGACGACTCTCTTATACAACAAATAGCCTGCATAAGTAGCTGATTTTTTCATTGCAATTCTTCTCAGATCTAAAATGGAAATCTTCTAACGTTACACTCGAGTGGTCAATGTTCACGTGACGACGTACTTATTATTTGCTGATATTTTGAGACCTTAGTGTGCTTGTATCGAGATCTATATTTACGTATAATTTTTTAATGATGGAACTAATCAAAAATTTAATTATTATTCAATAATTCATTCAATTGGATAGTTTATTTTTGTTGAGCAATTTATAAGCGGTACTAAAAGAGTTAATTGTAAAAAAGTGTCCTTTCAAGTTTGTTTTTAAAATATATTATTACAAAATAATTTCGTACTTCAAGAATTTGTAAAAACTACTTCATCTTGAAATTCTTTTCTTTTCTCGTTCTTAAACAAATTTTACATAATATCTGTTGTTTTCTAAAACTATTTTAGAGATATTTTCAACAAATATTTAAAATCATTTGTTTTTCAGTATTACTTGAGACAGTACTATTAGTTTACTGATAATAGTGTACTAATATATAACAGTAAACTGTGTTTTTGAACTGGTAGTTTGAGATGATCCTTTTTTTTTCACTTATGTATCAATTATCAAAAACAAATTGCACTAAATAAGTTTTTATTTATTTTTTTTTTTTTTTTTAAGGAAAAAAAATCTTATTTTTGTCCAGACCTTGTTAAATAAAAGTTATTGTTAATCATAATATCGAGTCAAGTAAGTTGATGATAAATAGTTGAAATTATGTAGTATTTTTAATTTAAAAAATCGAAATTTTTAGGATTTAATTTATGCTTACTGAAATTTAATGAAAACAGAATTTTACTTCCACGATTCATCCGATTTTTCATAAGTAAGAAAGTCCCACTTCAATTTTGTTATTGTCAATCAAAGTGTTGAGTTTATGTTTAACTTAATTGAAATCACGAAAATTTTGTTTTTTACTGAGAAAAAACTTCTTATTGAAGAACTGGTTAAAATCTCATATACCCCTGCTCATTAATAATCTCCAAAGCCAGAAGACTAATACGCTAATTACACAAATGAGTATATTTTTCCCGTTATTTTATTTATTTATTCATTTCTACGTAACGTAAGGATTCTATGGTCCTTTCACCTGAATCATTACGTATAAAATGATTTTAAAAAACGTTTGAATCACGTATTACTGAGCTATTTCCGCCACTGAATATCCTTAAAAAAAGGTATTTCTCATACGTACAAATAATTGTATGATGTAAAGTTAATCTTTTACTTTGAAAAACGTAATTAATTATAAAAATCCAAGATAACCCTTTGATTGCTGCTACAATGACACTTGAGGCACGGTAGTTTAACAAATGAGTAAAAAACTCTGTAAGCGATAAACATTGTATAAAATAAACGTACACCAATAAATAAACAAAAAAAAATCGAACCTGCAATGTTTGTCCGCACAGATCAGAGGCTAAGGCACTCGAAGGGCAACCTGGACGTGCTGTACTTCAAATTCTCGGACAAGGTGATACAGCACAGGGTGACGCGGGCGGAGCTGTCGGTCTGGATCTACGGGAGCCAAGAGAGCAGGGAGCCGACGTCGGACGGCAACGGCGGAGGGGTAGACGCGGGCGACATGGAGGCCGTGATGTCGGGGAGCGAGGGTGGCATCGTGACGATAACGTTGCAACGGGTAATGCGTGGCTCGACAGACTCGGGCGGTCCCCAACTCGGGCCCGCGCTCACGACCAAGCACCGTCGGCCCATCGGCAGACGCGGCGCCTGGGTGACCATTGAGCTGAGGCGCATGGTCGCCGAGTGGTTCAAGCACCCGCGGGACAACCTTGGGGTGGCCATCAAGATATCCGGGCAGAACGGCTGGGGCAGGATCAACAGAAACTTGAGACCGGTGGAGACGAATCCGGAGGCTGACAACGCGCCGTACCTCGAGGTGCAGACGCAAGAGCTGGACTCGAGGCGGGGCTCGAGGGTCAAGCGCAACGTTGGACTCAACTGCGACGAGACCAGCCAGGAGACTAGGTGCTGCCGGTATAAGCTCACCGTCGACTTTGAGAAGTTCGGCTGGGACTGGATCATCGCCCCGAAGAAGTAAGTCCCACTGGCTATTTTAACGGTATTTGTTAATCGGGGCGTGCACTGATTGCGTTACTTAAAAATTATCATTTCAGGAAATATTTTTTATTCGTTCCAACACACCGATCAATGTATTTCATACTTTGAAATTGATACATAATTTTACTGTATTTAAGTAAGTCGAGTAACTAGAGGCCCACAAATCAATAGAAATAACATTTGTTTTGACTGTAGGATATTGGATGTAATTTATATGATTGGTTTATATTTAATTAAGAGTAATAAANAACTTGTGAGCGTTATAGCAAACTTCATGTCAGAGTTGCTTTTAAATCCAACAAAACTTTACAGAAAATAATAAAAAATAACAAAATCAACGTTAGCAAAAAAAAAAAAAACTGTCTGGTATCTACAGTTTAAAAAGTGAGCTTTAAATTATATATTAGCCTAATAGATTAACAGTTTAAGTCTTGTAAAAAAAAAAAAAAAAAAAAAACTGTCTGACCAAACTAAGGCTCAATCTACTTGACTTACTTCTCGTTGCAGATACGACGCCAACTATTGTTCGGGCGACTGTCCGATGGCTTTCCTCCCAGCCTACCCGAACACGCACATAGTGAGCCTAGCCGAGCCCCCCAACAACACGGGGCCTTGCTGTGCGCCCCGCAAACTTTCCGAGATCACGATGCTGTACTTCGACAACGAGTACCAGATCGTCTTCTCGCGGTTGCCTGGCATGGTCGTCGAGCGCTGCGGGTGCTCATAGTGCCTCCTCGTCAGTGCAACCGATGTGCAACTTTTCAATATCAATGACTACAACAACAGTAACAATAACAACAAATACTATATGACAAAGGTGACAACAGCCGGAGGGAAGAAAAGAATAATGATACAAGACGCGATAACGTTACGTGTGGTGATCGAAACAGTTTTATACTCAATTATCTCCTCATGGTTTAAAGACGAGACGCTACCCAACGGTGTACTTTTTCAAATAATAAAACAAACGCGTATTGCCAGTGTCTGCTAAGTATACATGTTTAGTGCAACGCCACGCTTGTAATATCGGTAGGTACAATGATCGCACATTGGTACATTGGTATTATTGCTCTGTTTGATCAACGCATCACTATGGGAAATTTCAACGTGTAGACGGTTTGATTAAAAAACTTATTAAAAAATGAAGGCAAAAAACCACTGGATGATTGACTCTCACGCAGAGCCGGGATTTTTTAATTTTTTTTTTTTTTTATATATATTGATAGAAAAAACGAACAAAAAATAATAATAATATACGACACGGAGAATATAAGTCGGCGATTTTAATTCGATGGATGGACGTGGAAGCACGTTGAGATGCTGTAGCTTCTTGTACCGAAAATTCTTCTTCTTCATCGATAGACTGAAGTGCCTTGTGGATGTGCAGACTGCCGCCATCATCGAAAAGCGGCTAGTGCAAGGCGAGATTTGCATTGAAAAAAAAAAAAAAAAAAAAAAAAAAAAAAAAAAAAAAAAAAAAAAAANATTTATCCAACTTTCGCTCGTTTCGAACGTTTCTAAAGGTGCGCAAACATCTGCTGTCCTTGAGATAAGGTCTATTAGTTGTTTTTCACGCTTCGAAGGGGAAAAAAAAAAAAAAAGAAAAGAAAAGAAAAAAAAGAAAATGAAAATTTAAAAAAAATTGCACGCGCAAATTTGTATCTCCTAATGTAACACAAGCTAGTAGGCGTATCCATTTCAAGGCGGATAGTTCCTAGCATCACGGTATTATTTTAAGGCGCCATCGCGTTTACCTTTATAACCCAGCACACTTTTTTTTTCTAAGCTTTAGTGAATCATCAGTATGATAGAGTGCACACTTTTTTATGATAAGATGTGCTTGACCCCTTGTGATCAAATCAAGGTAGCGAAAATCCATTACGTGAATAAATTCATTGTTTGTAAAAGTGTGATCTTAAAGTATCCATTTATATTTCAAATTGTTATAAAAAAATACACATTCAATCATTGCTTTGAGGAGGTTCCACAGTGATGGTGAGGAGTGAGAGTGAGAGGCTCGTTTTTAAGGTTACATATATGCACGTATTTCCTAACATATTATTTATTAATAACTCTTTTCTCGAGACCCTTATTAAGTGTTTAACATACGTGTTTCTAAATGGCCATTTTTTCGTTTACTAAAAACTATGATAAAATTATGATAAAATTTTTGTGAGAAAGTGATTGATATTTCCGTAACCTAGGGAATCTCCTTCAGGCTCATAATTTAAAAAATCATGCATTACAAAAGTACGAAGTTCATAATTGTAGACTAATTTTTTTTATTTATAAAATACAAAATTTGTTTACACATTAAAAATAACTAATGCTAAATTAATGAAGTTCAGAATTTTAATAGTACCTATCATATTACATTTTAAAGCGTTAGATGAAGCTACTTCAGGATCATAAGGGTAAAACGCAGAAGATAAATTGTTTAGCTAGTGATTTAATTTATTTAATTTTTTTTTTTTTTTTTTTTGTACCCAATTTTCGCAAGCTTCAGATGGAGTTGTAGCCTATACAAGTATGTAGGTGTAAACGTGATGGTCTAAGGATCTCGGTGTATAGTTAATTAATTCGTTATTTCTTTTTACTTTTTTAATGGAATGTGTGCAATATGCGAGTGCGCGCAAAAGCTAGTGCGAACACGAGCTTATGTTAGCTAAACTTTATGTGTATGTGATGTGTAAATAAACAAATATAAATGAAATAAAGTAATTGTATTAGTGATAAATTATTATTATTATTATTATTATTGTAGCAATGGTGAATTAGATGTAAAAATAAAAGGCAATCTTCATTGATTTACCCTTCGAGTAAAAAATAAACAAAATAATAATGGAATTATGAGGATCAATGTAACTCGAGAAAGGGAGAGAGATGAACATGTTAGGGAATAAAAATTGGATTTCCGCAAAGATTGGACATTAAATGGCCCGAATTCTTGTTACATTTGAAGCATACGTTTGTATGAGCTGTAGATATGCCGAGATGGGCGTTTGGTCGCTTTAATTCATATAAATTTATAAACACGCGCACAACTATATCCATACACTCACTTAATACAAATCGTCTACAAAGTAATACACTTAGTTACTTAAATTTTATCATAAATCAATGGAAAAATTGGGTCAACAAATATTGTAATCGTAACATTATGGTAAAAAAAAAAAATCACCTTCAAAAAAAGTGGAAATTTTAGTAAAACTGCAGTAGAAATTTTTGCTAATTTATTTTAGTAGGTACACGTACACATATACATACACATACATCCACCCATACCCATTGATTTACAATTACTATCGCAAAAATTAGCACTTAAAAAACAGAAATAAAAATTTACAAGCATTTAGCATAATAATGTTTATTTTCTCAAATCACAAGCTACATATACATGCACATCTTATCATCTACGGAAGGCTTCTCGTGGCAGTAACTTAAATATTGCGTATAGTAAGTAAGTGGTTTATCATTGACGAGATAAACGACAATGTTAGATTATAAGTTTTTTCACGACTACTTTGAATTGACTATAAATATGTGATACTGCCCGAGATAAGAGTAAATAATACGAAATCCTAGATAATTAATTTTTTCCTTAAATAGTCTTCTAAAAATCCCTTCCTGCATTTTTGTGACCTTGTCTTTTATACTTCAACACTTGTTTTTAATTTATTTATTTTTTCCAATGGAGATACCGATCCAACTTCTTTATTTTTATGAGAAAATCAAAAAATGAGACAAAATAGTAGCTTTTGTTGATTGAGACGCACTTTGAAATTTTTTATACGTCTGTGTATAAATAACGACTAAGACTAATCGAATTATGTATTCAGTATCCAAGTGAGATACGAAATTTACTTATATGTATAATTTATACTTCTCTTAATAGAGCCCATAGATAGAAAAAATATTTATTCAACTAAATAATTAAATAAATAATAAAATTAATAAGCAAATAAAATAAATGGTTTTTCGACAAATAATTACTCTGTCGTTTCAATTCATACCCGTAAATTATGTATTATTGTGCTCCTTATTCCAGATCATTCCACATCCTGACTATAGAAATGCTGCAAGTTTATATAATTTATTTTACTCGTGTGATATAATATTTGCAAATAAGTTGCCAGCTTAAATTTTCCCATTTAAGTTACAGTGATTTTATTTTTTTACCTCAAATGTACACGATGAGTAATTTTATTTTCTTTACTTTACTTAACAACTCGACAAGCAATCGATTGTTTTCATGTCTAAGATTAAAAAAAAATTTTTCATGATAGTATTCAAATTATGACTAATAAAATTTTATTGAAATAAAAAATTGCACTTTAATATAGCTTTTAATGAACCAAACGTTGTCAAGGTTGAATGCATCCTGAGTACGTTATGTAAATATAAATATATGCTTGCCTAAATATGGTTCCACGTGAGTCGATTCATGTGATTGATGTATACATGAAAGAATTAATTTTATTCGACTTAATATACTTTAAATCCTCGATAGACCCTTTGCTTACAATTTTAAATACTCTTCCCAAGGACAAATAATCTTAAAAAACGCAAAGGTCTCTCATATCTTTGATAACGATGGGAATGGTATTAAATAATTTGCAGCTTACTTTTATCGTCGAACAAATAAAATATGACTACAGAGTCTGCCAATGGTCATTGGGAACCAAAGATTTTCCCACGGTGAAAAAGAGACAAAGCACATGGAGACATTCACACTGTCCACGTTCCGTTTGAGCGCGGCTGCGTACACGTGCGCCTAGAGTAACGATTTCGCAGTTTCTTCCATGTATTAATATCAACCTTGTTGGTCCGGGGCAAATAAAGGACCGACGCCGGAGTCCTAAGACCACGCATACAAATTGGCAGACTTCCAGATTCTTGGCCCAGCGCTTTCGCGACACAACTCTCTCTTATTTCTCCGGTCCTCTTCTGTCCGTTGTTCGCCTTTTTCTCTCGACTTATTGCATTCAGGGTGCCGACCCTGGGCTCGTTTCTAAATTTTCGCAAGTGTTGCGCGTCTCGATCCGAGACTCCGTAGACGAGTAAATATAAGCACGTTTGACTATGCGTGTGTGTGTGTGCATGTGCTTATACGACGATTGGAAGGATTTTCACCTCTTCCACAATGTACGTTGGTGTGGTAGTGCCGCATAATTTGGGTATTATCTGCGAGTGACTCGCGTAATGTGTACTACTTCCTCCTTCCACTCTTACATGTGTGCCGAAGATGCCGTAGATACGCGCGAAGGAAGCAAGAAACTAGCGAAAGTCTCTTTTCAGCTCTCCCATCAGCATAATTCGAAATTCACGAAAATGTTAATGGACTCGCAAATAAGATGTAGAAAGAGAAAGAAAGAGAGAGAGGATTTTTTCGCTTGCACTACATAACGTAAATCTGTATGTACATCTCTGTCTCTTTGGTTTCGTGCTTTCAATGGATATTTTAGTTTCACTTTCGAAATCGGCACAAATGGCAAAAAATGGCATTAGTGCCAAAATATGCCGATCGGCACTTTGCAAATAAAAGTAGGTGTCCCTTTTTTTGGCACTGCTGCTGAAAGTATACCAACTCCAAACTGATGTTTTCTCTTGTTTCTTCCCGAGTGTATTGCTGTTTGATTCGACTTTCAAGATACAGGAAGATGGGCAAAATCATGTACAGCAAAGAAAAAAAAGTCGAAAACTTTAATTTGAAAGGAGAATCAAGTT